GCGGTGGTGGGCCACGCCTTAAATCCCAGCACTCGGGAGGCAGAGGCAGGGGGATCTCTGTGAGTTCGAGGCCAGCCTGGACTACCAAGTGAGTTCCAGGAAAGGCGCAAAGCTACACAGAGAAACCCTGTCTCAAAAAACAAACAAAAACAAAAAAACTGTGTAAACTACAACATGAAGCTCAGAATCTCTGCCCAAAGGACCACATTCATGCATATATCTTGATGTGGTTTTGTGTCTCCCAAATTATCCCACCATCAAAAGTCCTATTACATATTCCCCAAACCTCCACTCATATGACTAAAGAAATCCAAGAATTTCTTTAAGGCTGTATCTCACCTGTATAGGTCTCCTACGATATCAATATAGTTATATCTGAAGGCCTTGTATTGTTGAATAGCTCCTTCAGGGATTGTCAGTGCCCTTGGTGTTGACTATGCAAGATTACTTCCCCACCACCAACAGTGGGAAGAATTGAACTGTAGGAGTACAGGTAAGGATGCAGACTCCAGAAAAGGTAGGGAAACTCTTTCCACACATGAAATAAACCCTTCAGGACCAAAGAGTTCAGTGTTCTAAGTTTCATCAGTGTCTTGGGTCTCATCAGGATCCTCCCTTATATCTCCACACCACCTTACAGAATCCCATCCTTTTACAATGAGAGTCGTAACTCTAACTCCCTGTCCCCTTCCAGTCTGAGACTTATTAATATAATATTGTAAGTCAGCCAGTCTCGCAATAAAGGCTTTCTTTTTTTATTTTCTTTGCTTTTTTTTTTTGACAGTTTTAGGCCTGGTTTCTGAATGGAAGATGTTATAAAATTAGATTGTTTATGAAAATTTAGACCTAGGAAAATGTATCTCTCTACATTAATTTTCTTTCCTTTGTTACTTTATCCAGACGTGCCAGAAGCAACTACACAACATCTTTATATACCTTAGGAACAATTTTTCAGAAATGTTCAAAAGTGTTGTATATACAATCCTTAAATTCTTTGTCTCTCACAGAGGTGAATCGATAGTATGTAATGTTTTGTTTTGTGTATTTCATTAAACAGTTTGTCCAATGAGAAATCAGTCATCTCCATACCATCTGGAGAGAAATTTTGCTAATTTAAGTACAGCCAAATTAGATAGCCAGCTCCAGACACCATCAAGCCTGTATGAGAAATTCATCATTAGCAATTATTTCTCTAGTACCATAGCAGATCTAAAGAAAATTTCCTAAATTGACTCATGGAGCAGAAGCTGAGTAATCTAACCAAGGCTATCTGTACAATGGAGATGCAGAGAACTCAGTAGCTGCTCAGACCAAGAAGCTGGACCCCTCAGCAATTCTAATCTGAAAATCTGGAAGATCCCTGAAAAGTCTTGTTTTGAGTCTGTCAGACAAGGGAACAACAAAGATGATAGATTTATCCAGTAAAAAAGGAAGTGAATGTTTTTCCCTTGACCTCATTATATCTGGACTTCCAGGTGGAATATGTTACCCATATTGAGGGGTAATTCTCTCTAGAAATACCCTCAGAGTCTCCTAGGGGATGTTTCCTAGGTAATTCTAAATTCAGTCAAATTAACAACCAAGAGCATCCATCACAGAGGTCACAGAGAAGAGAAATACCTCTGAAGACTTCAGAAAACCTATCTAAACTGGGGTCAACCTTGTGATTTTTAGACCGACAGCTGTGGAGCCTGCATGGGACCGGACTAGGCCTTCTGCATATGGGAGATAGTTGTGTAGCTTGGTCTGTTTGAAGGGCCCCTGGCAGTGGTTTTACAAAGCTCCAAGGTCAGCAGATCTGCAGGGACTATGAAGGGTCATCACTCTGCCTACCACTCCTATTCCTGGCTACTGGGTGGTTTCAGTCAAATCTTGCTGTTACTGCCTTTCTATCTATGATCTGGACAGTGTCCTTTGGTCACTCTTCACTAGCATTCTTCCTATTGTCCTTATCTGAAAGAAGTGCCTAATCTAACTTCGCCTACAATGACAAGACAGTCTGTAGCAAATCTTGGCTCTAACATCATGAAGCTTACTCTTACCATTTTCGTATCTTTGTGCCTTGTGCCCTTTTCTGTGCTTTTCTTCAGTCCACCCACAGTGCCAGGTAATAGCCATAGGCTTCCTTTGAAATGTAATTTGAGGGAAGGAGGACTTACTTCTGACTCCTTGGCTAGATATTTTTTTTAATTTAAGATTTTTTTATTCTTTTTACATACCAACTGTAGATCCCCCTCTCATCCCTCCTCTTGCTCCCCCTCCAACCTTCCCCCCCCCCCGGGACCCAAGTCCCATCCCTTCCTCCAAAAGGATAATGCTTCTCATGGGGAGTAAAGCCTGGTACATTCAGTTGAGTCAGGACCAAGCTCCTCCCCACTGCATCAAGGATGAGCAAAATTTGACTGAAGCCACCCAGCAGCCAGGAATAGGAGTGGTAGGCAGAGTGATGACCCTTCATAGTCCCTGCAGATCTGCTGACCTTGGAGCTTTGTACACAGATCCAGAAAACTCTGGATACCCAGTCACTGCTGAATGCGATGTCTGGTCCATAAAAGAGTCCTTGAACCTTCACAAGACCTCCCTAAATATTTTAAACTGTGACCTTCTTGGACCTAAAATTTTATGGAATCAAAGGTAGACAGGCATGAAACACTTGTATACAAGTCAAATACTTAATAATAAATCATTAAGAATTGCACCTTAAAATGATTGTGTACATAACTGTATCAGGGCCCAGACCTTAGTAGGCTCCTAGACCTTAGCACAACTGACTCCATGATGGAAGTACCATTCATGTTGTAAAACTCATCACATAGACAGTACTACCTGCCAAAATGAAAACAAAGACCCAATCCACCAAAGTCCATAGTTCTAGAAAAGTCTCTAAATGTACTAATCTTGCTTTTTTGCTTCTATACTTTGGCTTCTGGTCAACTGTTCTCATTAACTGTAGTCTGTCAACCAAGAACATGGTTTTTGTGCTTAAAAGATCACCCTGAGAAAGGTTTAGGGTTTGGGGTCCCAAACTCTTAAACTCCTGTCCAAGCAGTTTTTTCTGGTGGATATTCCACAGCATATATAAATATATAAATATATATATATATATATGATTGTACTATTTGTTAAAATTAAAAACAAATCTTTATAGTCACACACATGTGCTTCCTTTTCTTTTTACACGGAATTAAATCATGGCCTAATTTGATTTTCCAGGATGTAATGAATCAGCCAATATTTTTCAGAGTTGATCATTATTTTGATTTCATAATTTCCAACAATGAGATTGATGCTTCAAATAGTAGATAGTACAAAAATATGAAGGTTTAGGACCATATCAGAAAAATCAGAAATTATATAATAATATGATAGTTTAATTATCTTATTTTTATTGATGTTCTGTCTCCATCTTTCGATCACCTTAAAATGCATTCTCAGCCATCGTCAAGATCCTCTCTTAGGCCCAAGGAAACTCCTCATCTCAGGATCAACTACTGGTCTGTTTCTCGAATGAGTCAGAAAACTAGCATTCTGCTTCAAGCAGCTTTTTTTTTTGTTTTGTTTTGTTTTGTTTTGTTTTGCGGGTTTTTTTTTTTTTTTTTTTTTTGGTTTTTTTTTTTTTTGGTTTTTTGAGACAGGGTTTCTCTGTGTAGTGTTGTTATTACATGGGGTGGATCCATACATAAGTTTGTGCCTACACTCCACCTCTTGTGTGCCTAAACTAGAATCTCACCCAGGGTTGTAAG